TATAAGCCTCATTCACTCATATGTTATTTTATATGCCTGAGCACTTTGTAACCTAAAATTCCCACTCCAATGGAAACTATTTTGCATCAAGATTCTTCAGTATGCAGGTTGGATGAGCCAGGGATTGGACCACCGACCTTGCGATCAGTGGCTGTGGCTCTCTGACAAAAATGTAAAGCAAAGAAAGCTGGGTGTCATCATGAGACATTAGCCCTTCTATCTGCTTTATGAAAAGGCGATGCAGATGCACCATCCTTCTGTGTAATCCTCTAACTTCTGTCGCAGTGGTAGTGTTTCTGAGTGTGTGTTTGTGAATGTTTTTAGAGGATTTTCATTTCCTCATGCAAACTCCACACAAAAAGAAAGGACTCGGGACCTTCTTGCTGTGAGGCAACAGTGCTGTCCACCGCACCACTGAGCTGTCACAAAGCACAATAAATAGTAATAGCATACACGTGGTGTGTGTATGCTTTTCTGCTTCTTATAGCCCCAGTGATTTTCCTGGGGTTTGAAATCTCGCGTGATCTTGTCCAGGCAACTAACCACTCTTGCTTGATTAGGTGACGTCATCTCAACAAAAATAAATTTAACAAGCGTGAAGTTGTTGAATTTCATGCAGCTCATACACAACTTATTATGTTCACCATAGAAACTCTTGTAAATGTAATAACTACCCAATTTCACTTTTTTTTTAAGTGTATGAGTTGGAGTCTGAGGCCAGCTTGTTCCTGAGAATCACTTAAACAGTTTTTGTCTCTCTTGACAGTTGATTGTTGCTGACGTCAGTCACATCAGTGTGAACTTTTTTGCAGAGTAGAAATGATACAGGATTGAGTGTGAAAAGATAACACGGTTTCCTGTGCGCTGAGCGAGCGGAACCTTCTTTCAGTTACAACATCCTGTGGGCTGATGTTTAGTTGAACTGCTTTTCGTCCAGGTACATTCAGTCATTGTGCTGTAACATTGTGATTTATCTAGCCTATTGCATCACAACAAACACCCAGTTGTGGATTTGCCTGCTAAAGCAGAAGCAGTGCTATAATCCAAACTAGTCACACTTGATGCGACCATCATTTTATATACAAAACCCTCTTCAGTTTCACAACAGTTCCCTAATAAGGTTTCTGGTCGCCATCTGTTTACTCAGACTCTTTTCACAGCCTGTTCTGACAGATTATTTATCACTGCTGCAGAATGCACACAACCAACAGGACAGGCCCTCAGTGATTTAGTAGAGTGTCCCCTCTTTGTGAGTCATTCTTATGCTAATCAGTGCTGGTCTGTATTTTTTATACAGTGTTGCCTGAATTCACTGCAGTAAGATAAGAGGACTTTTTCCAAGAACATCCATCCATCCATCTACTTTCATAACTGCTTATCCAGCATATTATATATGGTACAGCAGTTGTGTCTGTTTACATAGGTGTTTCCCTGCACAGAGTCTAAAGACAGGGATTTTCAAAATCCATGCACTGGTGCTTACATGCAGTCTTCCAAAAAAAAAAACAGCATATAGCTGTCATGAATGAGATTATACATAGGTTAAACACTGCTTGGCTGAAAAATGGTCCGGGACAGGCATAAAACAAACCCACCAAAGATCGAAACATACAGTGCAAGAAGCACAGATGGATGCTGAACGGGACACTTTTTAAAAAATAGTTTTATGGTTATATTTCTTCTCTATTAATGGATATTTGTGCAGAATGCAAAATCTAAAGGACAGGGACGAGATTTATTTGTACTGGAAGCTTTATGGTCTCTGTTTGTAGGCACGTTTGACTGGGCTTTGGCTCCCTGCAGGTGAGCAGTCCATATGGATAGCAGAAGAGGAAAACGATTGCCAAAATCCTGTCTTGTATAAACACTGGCTGCTTTCTGATGACAGTTTAGATTTCTGTCAACTAAAAAGTCATGGAGACAATTTTACTTTATCCATTTTAGTAGATTAAATAAATAAAAAGAAGTGTATGCATTTATTTATTTTCCCTAGTTGGGATTTTAAAACACAAAGAGAGGCGAAAAAAGTCAGTACACAAAAAGCCCCAAAGAAATACAATGAAATGAGTCAAGGCCGAGGTTCAGCACTTTCACAGACAGCGACTGCTGCAAGACTCGCTGACATTCACCTTGTGTGGTTAATGGAAGCTACGTATAGACAACAAACCTCAAAACAGAAAATTTTAATTCAGAACCACATAGACAAACGTTAATTTGTTTGAATAATGGTTCAAACTAGCTAATTTAATTTTTGGATTGTGCAAGTTAGTGTCATATCTTTGGCAAGCTTTTTAGTGTTGATCACCATCTATCCACAAGCACTAGACAACAAAGACATGCAACTTAAAGAATCCTGAATTAAATTTAATGGGAGATTTCAGTAGCAAAGCAATGGTGGGGTTCTTTGTTTTGTTTTTTTACACTTTGTTATTGATCATAAACTATTTGTTTAAGACAGAAGATTGACTCTTCTTTTCTGTCCTCTCTCTGCAGCCATCAAGGTCAACTGTCATGGCTCCTGTGGGGTCTCCAACACAGCAAACAGCACAGCATATAATGTGGAGGAACAGTACTTAAACAGCACGCTGTCTGTTGCCGAGAAAGGTAAATCAATATTTTCACACTCTGATAGGTTATCACACTTCTAGAGAGGTTAAAAACCACTGGCATACACTTGCTTTTTTTCTAGGCAGCTGTTGTTCATTATTTGTATGTGCACTCTATGAAAAACTTAAGGATATGCTGCTTAGATCTGCACGACAGTAAGACCAAACCTGTATCTTGAAAGCAGTGGACATACTGCAGGTGTGGCTCACTGGTTCAGCAGGTTCCCATGTACCTTATTGTTGAAATGCAGTGACCCAGGTTTGAGGCTGACCTTCAGCCCTTTGCTGTGTGTCCTCCCCTACTCATTCTACCCTTTTCTGTCTGCTTTTCAATGCAAAACTGTCAAATAAAGGCAAAAAAGCCCCAAAATAAATCATCATTTAAAAAAAGAATATACTGCAAGTCAAAAAAAAACACTGATATGATCATTAGAGTATGTGAACTTTGCATCTTTCTTTGCTGATGACAGATTTATCTCCCAACCTATATCCCAACAAATATCAGAACCTCCTTGTCATGGCACAACTGTAAGACTTGACTCCCAGCGACTGGCTTTTTACCCCATTCAGTTTAATGAAAATCTGCTGGAATAGAGCTAATGTTACAGTGGCCTTCAGAGGTTTTTGCTTTCCTCTAACAGGGGAAAAGAATTTGACCGATCGACTAGTTTAAGAGTGGGAAAACAGTCAAAACTGCACCCAGTCCAGTGGTTGAGCTTGTAGATTGTATAAATATTGCTCACATATTTAAAGCCATTTTAAACAGTTGATCACATTGTTTAGAAATCATCTTTTTCCCCTGTAGGCTGACATGCATGCACCTGTGCACAACGTGATTACACATTTTTATGTTCAAGCGATTATATGTTCATTTAGTGTGGCACAACCACTGGGTCATTTTTAGTAGATCAAAGTCATTCTCTGTCATTTTCCTTTTATTGTTCATCTTCACATCAGAGAGCGAAAATGAGACACTGTCGTCTGTAATCTCAGCATCAGATCCTTGGGTAGCAAGAATGTATGTTTGTGTGAAAGTGTAAGCTAGTCCTGCTCAGCAAAAAATTATAGGTGTCAAAAGTGCTTTCTACTGAGAATACAATCAAAATTGTCTTTGAGATCATTCCAGACAACGTAAAAGTTATTTTCTGCAGATATGCATACAGATGGCTTTGAAATTTTTGCCTTGTCTTTGGTGTGCCTCGGGCACAACCCTAGTTTTTGCAGCCTAATGAAGAGTTACTCAGAGTAACAGTCCCCTGAAGCCTGTCTCCTCTCTGAGGTGAGACATAGCCAATCAGAGTCAAGAAGCACTGATGAGACTGTTGGAGAGCCCCCACAGAGAGCAGGTTAGAGTATTTTTCTCCCCTGAGTGTCTCTGTACCAACATGCTGTGCTGCACTGTGCTGTTCTTCCTGCCTACGGAAATAAGAGCTTACAAGACCTTCTTTTGCGAGTACGATCTTCCATCTTTTGTATGTGTTGCAGCCCATTAACAGAAGGTGAAATGTGCCACGCATGCATGAAATCTGTTGTAAATGCAAATCACACTGTGGGACACAATGGCAGGCATTAGAGCATGCAGTCCATGCTGGTTAAAACAGCAAACAGTTCAATGTTTAACTCTCAGGGCTGCGTTCTTCAGCGCATGATAGAAACTTCAGCTACACAATGCTGGAGAGTAGATTTAGTCAAGTACTTTACTTAAATATAGTATTCAGGTGCTTGCTATGCTACTTCATACTTTTTCAACATTTCAGATTGAAGAGTTGTATTTTCAGTATTTCTTGGATTGTTTTTTTTAATTTTATTTCACTATATAGGTTAAAAAAAAAAAAAAGGCAAAGATCAGAGGAACATGGCCAGACTTGCTAGACCATTGTTGTGTTGTGTTTGTGTCACATACAAGTGATGTCACAGGACTTTCGGACTGCCTTGCTGTAACGACCCCGTTCATATTGAGGTGGCACTCAATTGTAATGGAAGACTAACTAACAGAGTTGAGTCAAGCCGCTAGGTGCTAGTGGAAAAGAGGCATTAGAACCAAATGAACCGAGTTTGAAACTGAGTGCTGCTGGCCATGTCCATGGCTTTATACCATACCATACCACCTTTATTTATAAAGCACTTTAACATAAAACCAGAGTTCACAAAGTGCTGTACATGCTAAAAGCATAAGTAAAGAAAATTAAAATGAGATAAGATAAAATAAATAACTAAAACACTAAAATAAATTGAAACATGTCAAAACAAATTGA